TTTTTTTTTAACCCCTCCCGAACCGGGGTAAGGGCACCACCGCACCGGACCCTCGGGGCTACCCCGGACCCCCGGGGCCGGGGCCGTGACAACCCTGGTCCTCGTCCTCCTCCCGCGCTGCCACATCTGTTTTAGGATCATCCTCCTCGATGGTGACAGGGGCTCCTGCCTTCCTCAACACAACAACCCTCGCACTAGCCTCTGTAACCGTCTGCTCACGGCGCGATCCACGAGGCATCCCCAACCCCTCTGCCCCCGAAGTCTCTCCAAGTGCATCTCCTCCCTCTGCGGGCACGGGGCGTGGACGAGGAGGCACTCCGCGCTTGCGTGGAGTCTGCTCATGTACAGCATGCGTCGTTGCCATCAGAGCATACTCCAAGCTATCGGCGGACACTCCTCTGTCGCGACCTCGCTGAGGCTCACAACCTGATGCTGCCACCTCCCTCGCTGCGGTCATCCTGCCGTCGCGGGATCCCAAACCCGGTTGTAGACGTGCTGTGTGCTCCGTGACACGGCGGGTGGAATCAAAATTTATTTCTGTCCTCCCGAACAACGATGTGTCACTCACGTCCCCCACAACGGCTGTAGTGTCCCGAATCCTAGACCTCCCAGGCGTGTGTGGAGATCGAGAGCCTCTGCCTGTGGGCGACGATGACGGATCACCTATAGGTGGTCTAGGAGGAGGGGGTGGCATGTCTCGTGTACGTGGCGCCGTCTCCACGACGCCACCTGAAACCCTTGGAACATCTCCCGCCGTACGTGCTCCGGTGGAGGTAGACCCAGACCACACCGGCGATGCAGGACCCCATGGAACTGGAGGGATCGCCTGCCATGGTGGATGCTGTAGCCTCTAGTCAAAGACCCGCCGGTCCAAGCGAGTCACATCGCGGATAGCCTCTCTCGCCAACTCGTCTGCATCCAAAGGACGGCGGACCTCCTGCGGAGCAAAGTGACTAGGAAGACGCGGTGGCGCAACCACCGGCTCGGACCCCAAATCCGTGATAACGGGCGGCGGCACACCATGCACTGCCACCGACACCGGCTGCGAATGTCGGCCTTGAGCCAAGTGCAGGCCCGAGAACGGAACGACTAGACCCGTCGTTGTCTCCCGGACCACACATCGTGCATCACCCACACCCTCGTCTCGCCGCCGTCCTGCCTGCACAGCCTCATCCACCGCCTGTTGCAATCCCTCCACATGAACATCCGCTGCGGAGACTGAATACGGCCTCAGCGGCGGGTGGTGCGGAGACCCCGATGGGATCCCGCGTGATAAGCGCAACCTGACGGGCAATCTCCTCCGGCGTCATCCCCCGGCGCGTGCCCGTGCGCACTGGCTCCAACTCCAGTCCGGCCTGGCAGTCTAGCATGCCCTCGTCCCGCTGCCATGGCAGCACATAACCGCACCCAGCCCGCCGATACTCCGACAACCGCACATTCGCGGTGATCTCAACCAGCTGAACGACCTTCTCAAAGGCCAACTGGTTGCGCTTCTTCGTGTGAATGCCCTCGTGGACTGCCCAGTTCCTCTCCGCTGGAGAGACGCAAGACCACATGTGCATCACACGAAGAGCGCAGCGCTGCAACTCAGGTGCGCCAGACCCGTACTGAGACCACCAGGACGCGCACTCAATCGTCTCCCTGTCGCCGCTGCAAGCACGCCCACGAGCACGCCTCTCCCCCCCTCCCCAATCCCCAAATGTGCCCTGCTGCATGTGGAAGTCCTCAAACTGCCGACATGCAATGATGTACTCCACACCATCCTCCTCGTAACCCGTCTGCGTCAAAATGTACCTCTTGGCTTGCCTTACAAGCCAACGAGGGTAATCCCTCACCTCGCCCGAAAAGTACTCAACATGTCGCCTGCGGGGGTTCAGTAAGAACCCCGCGCAGTGAGCAGGCTCCAGCATGTGCTGTGTGCGAGCCTGCACACGCCTGATGATGCGGTCAGCGAAAACCCTCCCCAAAGGAGCGCATGCATCAGTGACACGGCGGACAAGATCCTGTGTCCACTCGATCATGAGGGACATGTACTGCCCCCCACGATCCATCTGCCTAAGCAGCTCCATGACGGGCTGCATGATGTGGACTATGATGGCCATCGTGTGCCACCAAGGCTCCCATCTGATCTGCCGGCGCACCCAACGCGCCATGTCGCACACATCAGCGGACCACGGTATATAAGCAAAATCCCGCCCCTCATCCCCTCGCATCATCGCCTGCAGAGCGTCCTGCATGGCCAACAGTCTCTCCAACATAGAATAAACAGACGCGAACCACGTCTCGCAAGAAAGCACAAGCCCCTTGTTGGGGCTGCGCTTCCTAAAGAAATAAAGGGCGGCCTGCTGGGTTTTGAAAAACACCACCAGAACACGAGCGCGTGTAATCGCGTCCACAAACGCGTCGCAACTCGTCCCCATGTCTGACAACAATTTGTTGCAGACATGGACGGAACACGGAAGCCAAGTGATCCTCCTGATTGCAGGAGAGATGCCCGGCGAGACCAATGCCCTCGCAGCCCCCACGTACGCCGATGCGGAGTCTGTGCATATCGCATTGACCAGCTGCGGGCCGCCGAAACTGAACTCGTGGAAGATGGTCACCCATCTCCGAAGGACGTGCACTGCATCGTCCGGCTCGCCCTCGCGATTGATCGTCGTGTAGACGACGACCCCTCGCGAGCCGGCGGCAAGGAAATTCACGATCGGTCTCCCGTCTCGTGATTTCCTCCCGTCGGAGAGGAGGGTGGCACCAGTGATCCAGAATGGCTGCCTCACCTCCTCCAACTCCTCCGCCAGCTCCTTACGGTGGGTCTCCACCGCCTGCATACTCGCAATCTCGCTGTGGCTGGGGAGCACAGCGCGCGGGGAACTGCCAGGCTGCTCAAGAAGGACCTGCAAGTATGCCTTCCAAGCCTGGTTGCGGAAGGCATTGAAGGGGACCCCGCTGGAATAGAGCCAGCGAAGGAATGTCTTCTTGTGGCGAGCAACCCACTCGCCACCGTAGACGTCAGTGACCTTCTGCTGGCGATGCCTCTTCCCAGCTGGGGCGGCGGCCGGATCTGTTCCACCTTCCTTCCTCTTGGAAGAACCCTCCCCTACAGGTCCCTTGGCTGCTCGCTTCAAAAAGTCCTCCATCCTCTCCCCAGTGCCTGGATGAACCTCAGGCACGTCCTCGTGTCCCGGGACTCCCTGCTCGCCCGGGACACGCGCCTAGCGATCGACGTCGATCGCGCCCTCCTCCGTGTCTCCACCTCCACCATCTCCCCCGACCCCTCCTGACGCTCTCTCCACGAGCTGCCGCCCCACCTCTCCTCCCCTCACACCACCCATGCCAGGCACATCAACTCCGCGCTCCGCCGCGTACCTGACAACCCTCTCCATTTGATCGCTCTCGAACTTCTGTTGACTCCGTCGCGCGATCTCGTACAAAGCCTCGTCGCTGACGTCCTTGCAGTAGTTCGTCTGCGTGAAATGCCTCGTCGCCTGGAATTGGCTCCCCTGAAATACTTTGTTGCAAAAAGTGCAACGCAGCATCATGACCCCCTTGTTGTCGACCTTCTGGCCGACAACCAGGTAACGGTACACAGGGGAGCGGCCCTTGAATGTTTCCTGCACATGGTCAGGGGCAGGCTCATGCTGACGCCGCTGTGACCTCCTCATGACGGCCGCTCTCGCCGCCTCGCGAGTCAACAATCGCAACCCCTTCCTCCCCCCCAAACGC